CCACCGCAGCCTCGACCTGCTGGGCTCAGGTGATCCTTCCACCTCAGCCTTCCAAGCAGCTAGAACTACAGACATGCGCCACCACACCAAGCTAATTTTGCTGATTTATTGTAGACACAAAGTCTTGCCAAGTTGCCCAGGCCAGCCTCGAATCCCTGGGTTCAGGCAATCCTCTTGCTTCTGCCTCCCAAAGTGCTGGGATTATAGGCGTGAGCCATTGCGCCTGGCAAATAAAACTCTTCTAGTCCCTATTTCACACATGAGCAAATGGAGGTCAGAGAGGTTAAATGGTATACCCAAGGCCACACAGGTTGGTGAGAAGGCCACAGCAGAGTCTGACTCAACTGTTCCTTGAACCTATGTGATCTCAAGATCCCCATCTCTGCCCTAGCCCCACCTGGCCCCTGCACCTTTGCCAATGACTCGGTCACTGTGAGTGACCACCCGCTCATAGGGAATCAGCACATCTTTGACCTCCGTCAAGAGCGCAGAGTCCAGGTCCCTAAGCCGGATAGACTCTGTCCTTAGCAGCGGGACACAAGATCCATCCTTGCTGTCTGAGAAGGATGCTCTGTGAACCCGAGTGGTGGAATCCAGACTGTCAGTGGCAGGAAGTGCTGTGGGGAGAGAGAAGGAGTGAGGGGTTTGTAGAGAGAGGGAGTGGTCCTAGCTTCTAGAACCTCCACCATCTCACCAAGGTCATTTCTGTAGTCAGAGCTGGAGTGGAGAAAAGGCAGGGGTATGGCTCCAGCAGTCTGGTCCAGGGATGCCAGGTCACTCAGGTTGAGAGAAAGAACTGTGGAAAGACAGCCCCTGGTGGCCAGGCTTTCCAAGCTCCTAGGAGCTGAACCCCTCCAGGGAGGTATGGAATGTCCCCAAGGCCTAGGCAGAGAGAGGATGTGGGGACTTGGAGATGCCATTGTTTGGGGGTAGGGGATAAATGAGGGCAAGAGTGAAGTGCTCACCTAGCTTCTTCCTTTGCCACCAGTAGTTGAAGACTAGTGCGGTGGCCAGAGCAGCCACAAGCAGGAGTAAGGATAGCAGGACACCAAGGATTGTGCTCTGTGGGACTCCCTCTGGACCTGGTCGCACCACCCTACCCAGGATGTGACATCCACCATCCACGCAGACCTAGGGGCAGGTGGCAACTCAGGCCCAGCCTGCAGGCCCTCAGCCCATGTTTTCTACAGAGGGCCAGCTGGGCTGCCTACCTGCAATGCAGCACCATCCTTGCCAAGTTGCAGGGAGGGGGGCAGAGGGCAGACAACGATGTCTCCCCGAAGGTCGTGCTGGCAGCTCTCACCACCCACGGTTATGTTCACATCCATGCAGTCAGCCACAGCGCCCAGCCCAATGTACTGCAGAGATGGTCATGAGGACCAGCCATGGTCTGGCCCCATCTCCAGATCCTTCACTGTCCCTGCCCCATCCCCCACTTACCTCGAACTTAATGGCATGTTCCTCAGGCTTCAGTGGGAATAGAGTGGCACTGGGTAGACGGGGTGGGGGTAGGAAGCGAAAGCCTGGCAGTATAAAGCCAGCAGCTCCATCTCCCCGGGCACTCAGATTCCCAGCCACCCACCCCTGGGGGTCTCGGACCACATATTCAGGCAGGCGGCACTGCTGCTGCTCCGGAAACTTCCCCTCACACTGTTGGGACCCACATGAGAGTGGTTAGCCAGGCGTCCCATCTGTGGCTACTCCAGTCTCCTCAGCCCAGCATGGCGTGGGACAGGGCTCAGGGGACTAGTCCAGCCTACCTCCCTCCTGGCCAGCACCCACTCACCCTATTCCCTACTGCCCTAAGCCCATCATGGAATGACAGCTCTATGTGCCACGCTGAAGTCAGATGCTGGCCATGGATGGTGATGTGGGAGCCACTGTGGAAGAGGGCAGGGTGGTGAACTTGAGCTTCCTCTGAGGCTGGCTTTCTCATCCCCCAGAGGCCAGGATGGGCAAGGAGGTGACACTTACGTGTAGCCACATTTAGGACTGATGTCAAGTATAATGGGGTCTTCCCTGTAGCAGAAGGTCCAGGAACCAGGCACCTTGGCACCCCCTACAAGCAGGCTAAGGGGGACGCGGGCCATGGCAGCCCCAGGGGGTGTGACACATAAAAGCTGTCTCTCACTGACCCTGCAGGAATAAGGATTTGGACTCAAGGCACACTCCTTGTGATGACCACGTTCACTTCCTCCAGGGGCCTGCCGACCCCACGCAGTTCCTCTGTTGGTCATCTCTCCCACCCACCCACACTCCATGGGTCCGTCTGAAGGTAGGGTGGTCCCAGCAAGACCTACAAGGGGGCAGAAGGGAAGAGAACAAGTTCCCCATAGCTTTGGCCACAGCCAGTGGACCCTGTGATGGGCTTTCTTGCCTCTGGGCTGAAGGGGGCAGCAGACCCTTCTTCCTGGACCTGTCTACCACACTGACCATGTGACAGAGTCCTCTTTCCTCTTTACTAACAGGATCTAGCTCCCAACCTGGTGAGGCTCCCCTGCGTAGAGCCCTGTGGCCTCCCATCCTCTTGCCTGGTGGTACTTACTGTTCTAGCAGACATTGAGTTCCGTTGACCAGCACAGCCCGGCTAGAGCCTATAGACAGACCTTGGCCTTCAAGGGTGAGACGAGTGCCCCCTGACCATGGGCCAAAGAGAGGTTGCACTGCTGTCAGCACTGGCTCCTAAGAGACCATAAAGGTGGCTTATGTAGAATAGTCTCTTTACTCCAAGCCCTTCCCTCCTCTTACTGCCCATTGGTCAAGGGCATAGACAGGGCAAGGTGGCCTCACCATGAAAGAGAAGCCTCCCAGCATGGAGGTGCCATCTACCCGGAAGTGTTTGCCTGGTGGCATGTTAGTCACGGTGAGGCTGACGTTGGTAGGCCCCACTGCCTGGGTGCCCAAGGGCTTCAGCTCACACTCAAGCTCCTCTACAAAGTCCTTCCGAGGCACTGGTCTGTAGCACAAGGGCAACCCCTGAAGTCAGCTGGGAATCACATAGGCCTAACTGCATGCCCGCCACAAGTCTCGGGGCTCCTCTGAGCCTGAGGATGGCATTTCTCTACCTATGCCTCCCTCCAAGGAGGGCAGGATCTGGCAGGACAGAAACTAACATTTCCTGGTGCATGCATCAACAGACAGGAAGGACACATGTAAGCTCAAAAAAGAGACAGAGTTATCTCCCCAGACACAAAGCAGCCAGAGCCACTGCAGCTTTCCCCACATCCCCTAGCCCCTGATAGCAGAGAACAGGGCCTCACAGGAAAGAAGCTGCTTGGTTGTCCCATCAAGAATAGAGTGGGGAGGGAGCAGGTTATACCTGAGATTTGAGGTGTCCTTGGGCAACAGCCGGCAGGGACTTTGGCCCACAGTGATTTGATGGGTTCCCTCAGGCACCAGACCAGCAGGGTGCAGGTAGAAGTTGGAGCCACACAGAGTCAGCCTTGTGCTGCCCCTTAGGGGTCCAATGTGGGGGTAGAACTGAAATGGGGGGAACAGATAGCCTGAGTCCTTATATGCCAGTTCTCATTCAAGCATTTTCCTGCCTCCAAGTCTTTGCATGTGCTGTTCCTTATGCCAAGAATGCATATAGATACTGAAGACATTTTAAGCCTGAGGAGAATCATGATCAAGACTTACTGTTCACCACCCCAGGCCCAGCTTGTTTCACCCTTACCTGTGCCCCACCAGAGATGCCATACCTCAGTAAGCTCAGGTGGGCAGTGGTCCTGTTGCCAGGAGCCAGGACATTCCTTCTGCCGGCCACACATACTTCCACACCAACCACAGTCCATGAAACGCTGTGCCCGCAGGCAACGCCCGCAAGTGACAAAGTGGTGGCAGCCAGGGCCCCTGATAGGTACCTGGAAGACCTTGGGATGGAAGACAGGTGGCTCAGGAGTGGTGACTAGAGAGAAGGACTGGGCCCCATAGACCCTTCTGGCCCCATTGTAGACTAGGGTGGTGAAACCTGTCAGTGCCCCCCTGGATTGGATAAGAGTCTATGCTCCCACAACCCTAGCCCCAGGCCTTGACACTGCCCACCTCACCTGATTCCCAGAGGCGAAGAGGAGATGGTCCCCAAGGTGACCGACATCCCGTTGCACGGGCTGCCCATTGTTGCCCAGCGAGAAGTTAGACACATACAGCAAGTAATTGAGTGACCTGGCCAGCTCCACCTACGACAGGTCAGCTCTGAGCAAAATGGGGATGGGGACAGGAACCCAGGGCCAGGGAGCTATGAGGACCTACCTGTAGTATACGCCCATCAGTTGTGCCCATATGGGCCACTGTGACATTGTCAAGGCGTGTCACATGCAATGCAGTGACCTGTACTGGTCCCAACAGCCCGTTGAATAGGTCCACACGTGAGAGACTACCTCTGACCAGCAGAGGGAAGTGGTGGCAGCTGGTGTTGGGACTGGAGCCCTCCAGGATAGGCTGGGGAGGGACAAGAAATGGAAGAAGTCAGGGTTCGGTCCTGTGTACTAACCCCTTGGGTCCTCTGTAAGTGACCACAGCAGCCCAAAACTTCCACCCCTCACCTTGCCTGACTGGAGAAGGCTGTGGGCCAGCCAGTTACCAACTCTTGCATCCTGCACAGGGTTCTCAGAGTAGCAAGAGGAGGGAGGAAGGCCCAGGCTGGAAGACCAGCTTCCCCTACTCCCTGCCCCACCCTGCCATGTCCATTTTGATCATGAATTACTGAGTCTTACAGATCTAACCCTATTCCATCCTCACAACTACTTTGAACAATGGGTGCTCTCACCACCTCCATTTTACAGATGAGGAAACAGGCTCAGAGAGGTTTAGTCACTTGTCTAAGACCACCGCATGGCCCCTCTGGAGAAGAGCCAGGTTAGAAGTCTGAGCTCAACCAAAGTCCTTTTCTGCCCCCTGCTGGCCCTGCTCTGCCTCTTAGCAAATCTTTTTCCCTCTGGGTTTGTTTCCCCACTTGCATAAGGGGCTGGATTCCAAGGTTAATTGGACAGCACCAGATTGGTAACATGGTCCTTCTCCCTGAGACTCCAAAGGTCTTCCCGCACCTCCGGCTGCTCCTTACACGTCCTTCAGGGCATAAAGGAATAAACCAAGGCCCTACAGCCTGGGAGTTAGAACTAGGCCTTAGAGGATAGAAGACACAAATCTCTTCCCTGTTTTTAGCAAGAGAGTGTTTTGGGGACTGCACTTGTGCCCCAGGGGGACTGTGGAAGCTCAGTTATGAACTTGAGGTACTGAAGCCGAGTGCAAGGTGCAGGCAGGGCTCAGTAGCCAGCCCTAGGTGCTCAGGACTCTCTCTCACCAGCCTTGTGGGTACTTCTCAAGGCAGGAGCCTCTGAAGACACCATCAGACCACATAGGCTTAACCCAGTCCTGAGACCTCAGTACTGATAAAGTAGGTGTAGAGCTTAGCCTAGAAACCCCACACACCCTGGGCCTGTAGCCTGGGTGGGTGGGGACTGGGACTTTGTCCTCACTGAGGCAGGAAAGCAGGTTGGCCCTAGCAGGAAGCCTGCCAGGTGTTTTTAGCATGACTCAGGGACAGGTGGGGCTCTGGGACTGAAAGAGGCCCTACCCTAGCCAGTCCCACACCCCTGCCTGCTGGTCCCTAGGCCCCAGGGCCTTAGCTCTGGGTTCCCAGACTTAGTTAGGGGCCTTAGCTACTTAATGTCCAATGCCCCATGGAGGATCTGCACCCTACCTGAATCAACAGAAGACAGGCACCAGCTCTGAACCCCTTGGGCTTCCCGAGAGCAACTACTATTATCACACAATAGGTGCTGCTCTAGCAGCTACATGCCCAGAGTCACTGGATAAACACTGTACAGGCTGATTTATACATCTCCTGATGGCCTGACCAGTCTGTGGGCAGGGACTAAGAGTAGGTCTCCTGGAGTCTGGCACTGCCTGGGTGTGCTGGGTGTCTTCTGACCCAGAGATCACTAGCTAAGCTGGGAAAAGGCTCTGACTCCCAGAGGAAGAGAAGGGGCCAGACAGGGGTACCCAGGCACAGACAAGGAGTCTCTACCCTAGGGCCTCTCAATCCAGATGTACTCAGCAGAACTTGTACCCAGTGTGGGGTGAACCCCACATGCTCCACCCCACACTGGGTACAAGTTTCCCTCCCAGCTCTGAGGTATTAATAGGAGATAGAAAGGAGTCAATTGAGAATGTCACAGCAGGACCAGTGATACAGGATGGTCAGACACTCTAAGAGTAGTGGCTGTAGGTTCCATTTCCTTGGTTCATCTCTACTTCTCTTCTTGACACCATGGCTGGAGAGAACCTGGGTAGGGTCTGTTAGGAGGAGCCTCCAGTTCCACATGAGCTGTGAGACCTCCTGCCTGGGACAGAGCCTCAATTACAGTAAAAAAAATCTGGGATGGACCAATTCCAACCAGCCCCTCCTAGGTCTTTACTCATCCCCAGATGTTTATAGTTGCTTGCACAAGACCAGAGTGAGGCTCCCAGAAACTTCTTGAGCCAAGCTGCCTTCCTGTGTGTGTCAGGTCCTCCCCCAATCACCAGACGGCAAATGGGTTAGTGAAGACCAGGCCATGCAGGCTTCCCAACAAACTCCCAGATGTCCAAAGCCAAAGAGGCTCCCTGAAACCTGGTGGCTGGCTGAGGTGGGGAGAAGGAGGGGCAGAGGAGGAGATGATTCTCTGACAACCCCTGCTCCACCCCCTTTGGAAAGCAGACTAAAACAAAGGAAAGTGAAACAGTGTTGGCAAGCAGCTGTGATCTATGTGAATCTGTGAGCATGTGTCTCCTATTTGTGTGTGTGAGATGCCTTGTATTTGTATGTGTCAGGTGCATATTTTTCTGAGTTTATTCCTGAGGATATGGGTGATAGGAGGGGATGCCCACCATGCTATTGGGAGTTTGGGAGCTATGCTGGCAGAAAGACAGTTATAATGTAATCTCATCCTCACATAATCAGGGAAATTACCTAAAAAAATCAGAAGCCATGATGTGCAGGAAGGACAAAGAGCAAAATGAGGCAGCAACAGGGGCCAGCCTGGCTGGGAGATGAGTCTCCACTGCGGCCTTTAGCTGGTTTCTCACACTACTCCCGGCACTTAGAAACTGGGTGAGAAGCCGGGCTCGGTGGCTCAGCCTGTAATCCCGCACCTTTGGGAGGCTGAGGTGAGTGGATTGCCTGAACCCGCGGGTTCGAGACCCACCTGGGCAACTTGGTGAGACCTCATTTCTACAATAACTCAAATATTAGCTGGGCGTGGTAGCGTGTGCCTGTGGTTCCAGCTGCTTGGAAGGCTGAGGCGGAAGGAT